AAAATAAAGGGTAGTTTGCTTTATAAACATTGGGTCAAAAGTCAACCATTAGGGTGATATCGCGGTACAAAGATGGCGGAAAATTAAGGTTTTTATTTTTTATCTTGAAAACAAAAAGAGATAGACTAATGAAATTTTATGGAAGCATTACTGTTATGAAAACACACTTTCTAGTAATTTTTTCACTTTTTTAAAATAAGTGGAAGGGGTTGAAATAAACTACCCCTATCATTCTTGTTAACGAAATTTAAAGAAAAATCTTATCAAACACATACAAAAAAATTAATTTGGATAGTTTAGTTTGTTTAGAAACTTTTTTATCTCTTGTGTTTTTTTGATAAACTCACCGATTTGAAATTAAAAAATAAAATGTAAAGCATTACATGTCAGGACAAAAAACATTTTTAGATTAAGAATCTAGTGATAATAACGATAATAATAATCATCTAGATAATAACGTATTGCAGTAGAGTAATGTCAAATAAAATAATATTAGGAACATCCTAAAAAGTAACAGCGGCCGACTAGATTTTTTCCTAAAAAAATTACAGCAGCCCACTAGATTCTTTATCAGAAAATGTTTTTTGTCCTGGCATGTAATGCTTTACATTTTATTTTTTAATTTCAAATCGGTGAGTTTTATCAAAAAAATACAAGAGATAAAAAAGTTTCTAAACAAACTAAACTATCCAAATTAATTTTTTTGCATGTGTTTGATAAGATTTTTCTTTAAATTTCGTTAACAAGAATAATAGGGGTAGTTTATTTCAACCCCTTCCACTTTATTTCAACCCCAACCCCTTTTAAAAAGTGAAAAAATTACCAGAAAGTGTGTTTTCATAACAGTAATGCTTCCATAAAATTTTATTAGTCTATCTCTTTTCGTTTTCAAGACAAAAAATAAAAACATTATTTTTCCGCCATGTTTGTACCGCGATATCTCCCTAATGGTTGACTTTTGACCCAACATTTATAAAGCAAACTACCCTTTATTTTGAACAAGGAATCACCCCCTGAAGTTTTTCGCATTTGTTTTGAAACACCCTGTATAAACTTTTTTACTTAATTTTGTCTGCAGAATATGCTGCCGAAGTTTCCGGAATACTGTTCGGACCACCCCGTATAAATATATTTTTAAAACATCAATATTTTATCATGCTGGTAACAAAAAAGAAAACTGATAAAAGCGGCGAAATATAAATATATATACAGGGTGCTACAAATTCGAGGTACAAGCATTGGTATCTCGGTAACCGTAATAGATCCAAATATACCGTATGATCGAAAAAAAATGGCGTCAAGTTGGGTTGGAAATGACGATCGATGACATTTCCCATATAATTTTACATATAAAATGACAGCGACCTTCATTTCATAGCCATCGCTGACGCCGTTTTGATTCGATCATATGGTAGTTAAATTGGGGCAAAGTTGCGCTTTGTGATGATGTTCGCCAAGATGTCATCAAAAAAGTTTTAGAAATTTCAAGGATTGCGGAGTTTTTTGAAAAAAACGGATTTTTTGGAAAATCAATTTTATTTTTTCCTGTCGTTACTTTTAAGAAAATCAAAAAACTAATTGCACATTCTCATAATTACTTTATTAGGGCTATCTGATAGTATTTTTAGATTTTCAAATTAGCTGATAATTTGTGAGATACAGAAGCCAACTTAATTTTTTTAAATACGGACCTGCATTTTTTATTTTCGGTTTTGAAAGAACTCGGTCTCCTGGGTACAATTATATGCCATACTTTATACTTTTTTTTTGTTTTGGGTACCTTAACAACAAGAAAACTATTTAATTATTATTCAAAATAATTTCCGACTCTGTTTTTTTAAATTATTTAATCTGATTATATTCATCGTAACAATATTGATCAGCACTAATTAACATTGAATAAGGAAAATCCAGCCAATTGGAAGATTCAAATAAATTATATCCAGGTCAGCAATTTAAAGATATTATTTTTATTATTTTTTATTGTGAATTTTAAATCTCAGTGTGCGATCTAATAATATGCGTAATATTCATCGTAGTTATTATAAATAAATAAACTTCTACAAACTAGTTTCTAATATTCTACGAAAGGGTTACAACCCTCCCTATTGCACAAATTTATTTTTCGTTCAATTTTATTATTTTTAGCTCTTTGAACTTTCTTCTTATACTTCCGAAAGCATTTTGTATTCTTTATTGTAAATGTTGAGATGTATTGATTTCACTTTTATAAATGACATGATGTACTCATTTGTATATTATTTTTTATTATTTTATTGTGTTTGATTTTCAATATTTAATGTTTGACCCCACGTCATTTTTAAGTTTGAAAGCTTATCGATACTGTAACGATGAATAGATTAAATATTAAAAAAAAAACAGAGCCGGACTTGAAATTAGTTTAAATAAATTGTGTTCAAATGTCCGAAACAAAAAAAAAAAGTATAAAGTGTGGCATATCATTGTATTCAGGAGACCGAGTTCTTTAAAAATCTGACATAAAAAATGCAGGTCCGTATTTAAAAAAATTAAGTTGACCTCTGTATCTCACAAATTATCAGCTAATTTGAAAATCTAAAAATACTGTCAGATAGCCCTTATAAAGTGGCTATGAGGATATGCAATTAGTTTTTTGATTTTCTTAAAAGTAACGCAAGGAAAAAATAAAATTCATTTTTTAAAAAAATCCGTTTTTTCCTTGAAAAAATCCTTGAAATTTTTAAAACTTTTTTGATGGCATCTTGGTGAACATCCCAAAGCGCAACTTTGCCCCAATTTAACCATGTTCGTATCTATTACGGTTACCGAGATACCAATGCTCGTACCTCGAATTTGTAGCACCCTGTATAATTAGAAGAAACTAAGTAATGCAACATAAAAAAGTACAGAAGGATTATCACATCCCATTTCATTGAATAAATGACTGAACTTCAAACGAGCTTTTGTTACCCGGCACCTCCACCATTTTTTAAAGAAATTTCGAAATATTTTCTATTAATTAAAATTAATGTAAAGAAAAAAGAAGTATTAACAATAAAACAAAATGCTATTATTTAGGTAGTTAAAAGATTACTTAGAAGTTTTCTAAAAACAGAAAATTACTTAACATTTAACTGAATTTAAAGTAATAGAAAACTAAAATTTAGTAACTGAACTAGACATTTGTTATTATTTGTTACCTAAAACTTGGAAAAGGTTTAATTTTGCTTGCAATATATTTAGAGTATGATTTGAATAAAAATCAAACTACCTCAAATATGTTATTACAGTCTGTTCCTATTAAAAATTTAGTAAAACAAAGAATTAGAAAATTGTTTGAATTATATCCAAATTACTTTGTGTTCCTTTAAAGCAAAACAAGATAAACCAATTGTATACTCCTTTATATTCTATTTATAGATATACTGTTAAAGATATCAATATATACCACTGATAACTGTTCTGCATTTGACTTTTTATGAAAGATCTAAGAAAGAAATAATTTTAAAATGAAATTAATAAATGTTAAAATGCAACAGTTTTTCAGGCATCTAAACTCAGACGAATAATTATACAAAAACTCTGGTTTTTTGTATAATTATAATTCCTAATTTTTAAAATTTATCTGCTTTTATGTATTTTTTTAGCATTTAAGCCTCATGATGAGGTAGGTCCTGACACCCCGGAACTTGTTGGATTAGGTAAGTATTTAATATTTAGAAAAAAACATAAGTCATTTAATTTAAGGATTTTCTAGGCGTTTCATATTAAAATCTACTCGCATCGGGTCAACCAAAATTACTTAAAATTGAAATGCTTTTTCATCAAATTAAATAAGTAACCAGTTTTTATTAAAAAAAAACACCAAAGTTATATGTATATTTAATAATATCCCAAAATATCCCAAGCAGTATCATACCATTTTATTTTAACGCTGTACTTGATTTATACAAATCATAACCATGTTCTTATCATAAATAGTTTAAAAGTACTTAATAAAAAATATTATACCTTTTCATTCCAATCAATATCATACCAAGGAATAATAAATATTTTCCCATCAGAGCAATGGCAAATATTAATAATAGCATTAGCGTAACTACTGGGGGGCCCGGGGGTGCAGGGTCCACTCCAGATACTGCTGGGCACCTCTGCCATGTTGTTTTGTTCAAAAAATGTGTTATTTTTTTTAACAAAATTTGTAGGTTTTGAAATAATGCAGTGGAACACAGTTTGATAACCAAGTCTATGAAATTTATTGATAGAGAAATTCATGTAAGCGTTTTTTAAAAAAATGTGTTTATTTTTTAAAGGTATTTTACACTTTTAGGTATTTTACATTTTTTTCAAAAAACAAAATTCCTAAGCCCCCCCTCGGGGCTCAACCCGTGCCACCTCCACAAGATGAATTGCTAGTTACGCTAATGAATAATAGCCTTGTATATGAATATATAAACAAGGATAATAGGTACTTAATAAATGGTTATGAAATTTTTAGTACTCTAATTATTAGGTATTTTAATATTCATAATTCTTCCCAAAAAATCACAAAACCCTATAAGTACATTTTTAAAATGTTTCTTATAAAACATAACACACACAACAAAATCCTACATACCTATATCGAGGATTAACACACCTACCTTTGTTACTACTTTTTTAAAATTACCTACTTTAATTAATGAGTAGATGATTTTTTACATAAAATGAGCACCAAGATTATTTTGTTTAAAATTATTGAGAAATTAGGCTAATCAAAAATCTTATTAGGAAGATGTTGAATAAATGCCAGAATATTTTAAGTTAGGCATGAGGTTATAAAAAAATTAGTTTTTTTAAATCTAATATGGCACCAATACTAAATCTGCCTACTATTAAAATATTCATTATTATTTGATGATGTATATTTTATCCAATTACACTCATTATTAGCAAACCAAAATGAAAAAACAAGGGTAGATATTTATTTCTAAAAATAAATAGCAAATAGACAAAAAGCACATCGTCATCAAAGAACTTACTTGTCGTAACAGGTACAGGACTGTCGGCCAAAACGGACTCAATTATATCTGAAGACATAATTTTCGGGATAGTATTGCCTTGAAAATCTTCGGCCCTAGGCAATACTCCAGACAGTTTGGTAAAAACAGCCTGTAGTTTGGAGTCTTTGGCCAAACTCTCCTCTTGAAAGCTGCTCCGAAACATGGCTCTTCTTTTTCTAAATCCGATTCCAACGGTTTTTTTTTCAAATAAATATCTTTTGTTCTAGGGTGCTAACGAAAAGTGGAGCTACCATAGCCCTGCTCGCATCGCCGTCCTATGATGGTGATGATATGAAGCCGGTGCGGAGGAGGAGATGTTGCATCGATGCCGGCTAACAAAGAACTCGCTGTAATATCAGCTGATCGACCGGCAGGCCTCCACATCGCGCAGTGGACAGGCGCACTGCCGTTGGGACAAAATAATTTAGGGGTTTCGGACATAAAACCAAGTCTCTTTGTTCTATAATTTCTCAGAATAATTCATGTTTTTTAAAACATGCAAACTTTAAAATAATATTACGTTTTATATGTATATACTTACTGTTTCTATTTGATCTTTCTTACCCTTTCTATCTCTGATATAAAAGTATCTCATAATATGTTATTATTAAGGAATAAAGAATTTTATATAGGTCTACGTAACTTCCAAAAAAAATGGGTATTGGTATATGCCCAAAAACATAAGAAACTGTTTGTATAATAACTATCTTAATTTTTAGTTCTGACCGATTACAAAAATAAAAATATATTCCAGAAAGTTTCTTTTAAGTTATTCATGTTATCATTATTTTTTGTTTGTATTTCACTTATGATTATTTTTGTTTTTATTTCAGTTATAATTATGTGTTATTTATTTATTTTATTTTTATTAAAAATATTAGAATGTAATCTAAATTGTGTGTTTTTTGTATGCTACTCGAAAACGCTTGGTATAACAAATTATTCAGTGTAAGTGCCGTATGACCGAAAAAAGAACGGCGTCGGCGATGGCTGTCATTTTATATGTAAAATATATTATGGAGAAGGTCATCGATGTTCATTTTCAGGCCAACTGGACGCCGTTTTTTTTTCGATCATACTGTATAAGTATATATGGTAATCGCAAAACAATTTCCGATCACGTGATCAACTTTGAGTGACAAGCGATAGCGACAGCGCTGCCAGATTGTGATGGATTTATGAGAAAAAACTTAATTTAAAGTTGACAAACAACATATTTATTATATCATTTTTTAAAGAGTTTTACGTTTTATTTTTAATTTAATAACTAATATTTTAGTGATTAATTGATTTATTTGTTTTATAGTTTATGTTACTTATTGCTTATTAGCAGAAACTAGTCCATTTAAAGATTATTTTAAGCGTTATTATGGGTTATTTATTTATTGATGTACATCTTACAACACCATAAGTGGTAATAACAAGTAAGAGGGTGCTATTAATGCACAAACTAATAATCACAGAATTTAATAAAAACTAACTTTCAAAGTGGTATAATGTGCTTATCAATCAAACTTACTTCTCTGACTGCAGTCAAGGGTAATAAAGGACCTATATTGTCACGTTCTCGTTCAAAATAGTTTTAATCAAACATGGAAGCTACAAGCTCTTTGCTTCGACTGTTTAAATGCTTCTGCATATTTTCAACACACAAATTTCAAGAAATGCAAAAACTCGAAAATTTAGTTCCTATAAGAACTGTTTGTGCTCAAAAGTGCAGTTTAAAAAAAAGACTATGAAAATGCCCAAAAAAATGAGAATTACTCACAAAGATTCAACAACACTATATTATACAAACTGCACTATATTATACTCACCTGTAATGTCAAACGTACAGCTTCTCCACAAAAAATATCATTTTTACTCCTAATAAAACAATATACTATTTTTACTTTATCAATAAAATCAAAGTTCTATAATTATAAATTCTATGGTTATAAAAATAACCTAAGGCAACGTTGATAATAAACACATTGATTATCTTTGGAAAGTTTTTCCTTTATGTTACCAATTTTTAATACAAAATGACTAAGTAAATATTGATTATTTATTACAGAAAGTTTGTTTATCAATAAGTATGTTACCGTTGGTCTCAGCTAATTAATTTGCAATTTTGCCATGCCATAAAAAATCGTTATTAGTGACTATTATTTTTATATAACATAAATAAATTAAAAAGGATAAAAGTCTGTAGTTAAAAAAACAGGAAATATAATTTACAATATTATTTTGATCCATTTTCAAGTATCTTATTATATATTTATGGCAGCTGATCCGCATTTCCAATATATCCTTTAAATTAGTAAAAAGGCAACCAGTGTCTGGTATTTTTCCACTCGCCCGAGAAAAAATCATCTATTATTAAGTTAATTGCATTATTTCGTCCGACGTTACACCGTTCTCGGCCCAGTGGGTTGTCCTGTAATTTCCACCAATAGAAAGGCAGGATTCTTCTCATGAACCCCTGGCCTGGCAACAGCCGTGTGTCAGAATCAGCTGTAACGATCGAACCGCTTCAATCCACGACGTGCCCAGCGTATATCGCTCTTTTACCAACGCCGGCCTGCATATTCCGATAAGTTTTTGTATTTTTGTGCTCTTTTTGATGTTTAGTACGAAAAAAACGATAGATATAAATAAAATATTTAATTCTTAATATGAATTGATGTACTTTATAAGTAGTACGTGTGTATTTCAAGTAAAATAAGCGGGAATCCCCAAACAAACACAAAGAACCGTGAAACCGGTAGTTAGGGAAGTAAATGATATAACGTAACGCCGAACTAGATACATGGGATCTAGCTACCGGTTTCCTGTGATAGAAAATCGGAGGTTTTATTCATAGGCGTGCCGATCGCTCGGAGAGTTTTGGTTTCTATGTCGTTTTGTAAAGGGAAAAGAATATTAATTGTTGAAGTTGTAGAGCATTTTTATAAGACTATTAAAAGCTTTCCTTTGCTTCTCTCTCGCTCACCATCCTTTCTCTCTATTTTTTTCTATGGTTTTTTTACAATAGTTAATAGTTTGTTGGAGCTTGATTAGGTAAACTTTGTTTTTTTGTTCTTTCCTTAGTGGGTAGTAGAAACGCAAAATAGCCGATTGTTTGCGAACTGTTAATAGTAGTAGAAAATATAATAACAAGATTAACGAGTTCTGATGTTCTTTACAAATATTAACTATTAAATGATTAGGAGATACCTACCTACTGTTTTTTTTTAAATACACCCAGCCTGTAGTGTAATAAGTAGATTTTCTAACGGGCAACTAACAATAATTAATACCGTATGATCGAATAAAAACGGCGTCAGCGATGGCTATGAAATAAAGATCGCTGTCATTTTATATGTAAAATTTTGTGTGAAATGTCATCGATAGTCATTTCATAGCCATTCCTGACGCCGTTATTTTTTTCGATCATACGGTATAACCTGTAGTATAACTTTATATTTCATTATGGTTTGAGTCAATAGGTATATCTATATTAGAGTAATGCAATAATTGTAGGAAGAATAAGGGTTGTCTCGAGGGTTGTCTTGTCTGGGTTATAGCTTTGGAACTAGGTAATTGCCAAGGATAAGCGTTACAATAACTCTACTAACAAGGATTATATGGTTACAATAAAAATAATAAAATATAAAAACCAGGATTGGCATTTAAATCGCGATTTAATCGTTCAAAAAATTTTTGTATCTGCAACATATTTTCTTTTTACGTATACCGGGTGTTTCTCACCCCTATAACTTTTTATTTTAATATTTTAATATTATTTTTTCAGATAAAAAAACGATATTTGGTACGTTAACGTTAGTACCTATATGACCTAAATCAGGATTGATTGACTTATTCAATTGTTTTCGGTCACTTCCTGTTTCACCGGAAATGGCTACAACTTTTGATTTGTAAATAGTACACTGTATAGTACACTCTCTTGATGACACTTTGAATAGAATGACATATCATATGTCAACTTTGCACATTTCTGTATATGGTTTATTTCTAATTGTAACATGCGGTTCATAACGATAATTTGACTCGAAGTACCAAGTGTGTGGTATCAAATTATTCCTAAAAATATACTTTTTCCACATATGCTAACAAGCCAGCCTCGTTCCATTTGAAAAAATTGAGATATGATTAAAAATACGATTTGAGCATCTTTTAACCAGTCAGGACAAGACACGAAAAGCATTAGACGATCAAATCTATTTTTCCAAGCCTCCTTGATTAAAAATTAGTGGTTTTAACTCAGCCACTCCTAACACACTCTAGATATGCATTTTATATCTATATTTTAATGAAGAATTGTTTTAATGTTTAATGTGTGAAATTAAATATGTAGTCCGTTCGTTATGGCAAATAAAAAAAGAAAATTATTCAAGTAGGCTTATCACTAATTCACATAAAAGAAAGGTGTTAAAGGACAGCTGATCTCTGGCAGTACCACACACCACTACAATCAAACGGGTATAAAAAAACAGCTGCTTTTTTATCATTATCACCATCTGGAAAAAGTTAAAATACGACTAGGTAGGTACATATATACATTTACCCCTATTTATAACTTTTCAAATTAGCTCTATAATTATAGTATAAAATGTTAAAACTGTAACCGCAACTATCTATGAACCATATCAGTTTAAATGCAATTTCAAACAAAGAACCTACTTGAAACCTACGCCTACTAAAAGTTCTAAATTGCAGAAAATTATATTATCTATTTTTAATTATTTAGTTTCCATGCACAACTTTGCTAAAGAGTAGACAATATTCCACCATAATATTGTATTATAAAATACAATATTATCGAAAAAAGGGGTCAGCGATGGCTGTGAAATGAAGATCGCTGTCATTTTATATGTAAAATGCTATAGAAAATGTCATCAATCCTCATTTCCAAGCCAACTGGACGCCGATTTTTTTCGATCATAAGGTATTTTTTCTTATTTTCTTATTATTGCTCCGAAATGGTTGAATGGAACTAAATATTAATTATTTTACTGTCTTCTTTATCTATCTTCTAGGTTCTAGAGAAAAGATATAAATATTTTTTATTGTTTCTCTCTTTGAATAAAAATACTATTTCTGTTACCACTACAGCCCTCTGTTAGAAAAATCCATGAACTTCTTTTATTGAATTGCAGCATGCGCCATCTATTTAAGATGATGTGAACTTGAAATAAATATTACGCAGGTATTGATTCTATCACAGAGTAACCTATATATTTAATTTAGTTATGATTCTATTAAAGAATTCTTAATAAATATAACACGGTTCCATCTCTTAAAGATTCGCAAGAAGCTTTTGCTTCACTATTTAACAGTTTTCCACTTATGGTTATT